TTTTTTTTTTTTTTTTCAGCTTTGCCTTCTGAAAATTAGATCCTAGGTTCACGAGGAACCTTGTGTTGCTATTGATAGGTTCATCGCAAACCCAGGTGCCTGCATTTCTCGCGTGTTTGTGTTGCTGTCATTTTTTTTTGTTTAGATCTGTGATTATATGAAATTGTGTGCGAAAACCCATATTTGTGTTGCTGTGTTGCTATCATTTTCTTGTTTAGATCTTTGATCATGTGAAATTCTCCGCAAAAACTTAGATTTATGTTGCTAAGTTGCTATCACTTTTTTGTTTAGATCTTTTGATTATGTGAAATTGTTGATCTGGTATCTTTTTTTTCTTGATTTGGGATGTTTTGGGATGTCTACATGGAAAAGGATTGATTGATGAACAATGAGGGTTAAGGGTAATTTTGAAATTTTAATTTTTATAAATTACAAATTATGTTTAATGTTTACGTGGAATGCCACATCATATTTTTTATTTTTATATTTTCCATGTCATTTATACAAAGAAAATAAATTAAATAATTTCGTTAATTAACTTGCCACACAGCTAAAACTTAACAGAGAAATTAAAAAGAGATCAAATTTCAAACAGTAAAGACAAAAAAAGAGATTTTTTTAGTATAGGGACTAAAAAGAGACTTTTTTTCATAGTAGAGGGATCAAAAAAAGTATTTAACCAACTTATAATACTAGTTAGATGAAAAAGTTAAATATCTATTGTTTAATTTTATTAGAAAAAATAAAAAATAAAAAATAAGTCACCATAAAAGGCGGCTGATCCTTCGGAGCAGGATCCCTTACCAGGAAGCATATAATGGCCCTTGAAATTGACTCAACTTTACTCCCAACTTCTTCAGTTTTCTTTTAGGGTTTGCTCTTAGGTCTTTCCTTTCTGCTGTTTTTATTGTTCTTAATTTTTTGGATCAGCCCTTTATACTGTTCTATCTAAGGTTTAATTTTGTCCCTTCATTTTCTTAGTAAGAAAGGAAAGAAAGACTCTCTTACATTTGATAAAAAGAGAGGTAGATATATGGGTCATGAGAGAAGTGATAGTACTGAAAAAATTGAGGAAATCATGCTCCCAGGTTTTCGTTTCCATCCGACCGATGAAGAGCTTGTTGGGTTTTATCTGAAAAGGAAGATTCAGCAGCGCCCTCTTTTGATTGAGCTGATTAAACAACTAGATATCTACAAATACGATCCATGGGATCTTCCAAGTAAGTCAGTCCTACACATTTTTCATGTTGCATTAAGAGATTTCATGTGGTTTTTAACTTATAAAATGTAAATGTATATGGAAGATAATTTATTTGTTTATTTCGATGCACGAAGAGTTGGCGACAACAGGAGAGAAAGAGTGGTATTTCTACTGTCCTAGGGACAGGAAATACAGGAACAGTGTAAGGCCTAACCGAGTGACTGGAGCTGGATTCTGGAAAGCCACCGGAACTGACCGGCCTATCTACTCCTCAGAAAGCTCCAAGTGCATTGGCCTGAAGAAATCTCTGGTTTTCTATAAAGGTAGAGCCGCCAAAGGTGTTAAAACTGACTGGATGATGCATGAGTTCCGGTTGCCCTCTTTGGCTGACTCGGTAACTACAAAGAGATTCATGGACAAAACCATTCCTGCCAATGTAAAGCTTCCAAATCTTGCTTAAACCTAGTCTTTTTGGTTCAAGGAAAGATATTTTTTATTTTTTATTTTATTTTGATGAAGGAAAATTAATTTTAGAAAAATGTTTTCCTCATTTTTTTTTTATTTATATATTTTTAGAGTCTATTCTATTAAAAAAAATTGTAGTTTTATAATTTGAATCGTAAAACTAAAGCCATTATATAGTTAGGGCCCGCTCACATTTGATTATTACTTTCACAAAAAATTTCTGTAAGAAAAATAAAGTCTTCATAAGCCTTTTTTTCTTCATATCATGAAGATTTTTGATATTGTTGTTGCAGGATTCCTGGGCAATATGCAGGATATTTAAGAAGACAAACTACTCAGCTCAAAGGGCTTTTTCTCATTCATTTGTTTCTCCATTACCTGAAACATCATCAACCTCGGTTATGGCTAACAGTACCATAGGTTCAGACAGTACTCAACTCAGTTCGGAGAACAGATCGTCAGTAACAACAAAAACCAGTTCTTCTTCTATCCAAATTAATCACAATACTGACATACAACAGACATCAAGTACCACATTTTCCCCTTTAGATTATCCCTACTTCAAACCCATCAACCAGATGGCTGGGAAGCCTCCTCAATTTCCCACCGGAGACCTAGCAGACCTCCTTGTTGAACCTCTCGAAACCTCAGCTCCTGTTAAATGCATGGTGGATGTTACATCCATGTTGCTGAACATGTCTTCTTCTGTGCTTGGAGATTACAGTCATAGCAAGGTGTCTGATGAGAGTATAGACCTCGTGGGGCACCATGAACATGGCAATGGCTGCTCGGTGAGTTTTCCCCATGAGATTCATGGGAACATCAGCAATGGAACGCAAGGGGATGACCAGTGGGAAGGCGTCCAATCTATGGGATTTCCATTCAGTTTTCCGGCTGTGATGAATATGGGATATGCTTGGAAACCAAGTAATGTTTTGTGGGATTCTTCATCCAGTCCTAGTGAGATGTCCACAAGTTTTTCAACAACCAAGTGTTACACTTGATGAAGAAGATTATACGGTGAAAAAACATGTTTGGTGGTTTGAGGTTTTGAGTAATTAAGTTGTTTTGGAAAATATTGTGTTTGTGTCACTCTTTCTAGGACATGAACCATTTTTATATCATGGATCCAAATATGAAGAATTTGAGCTCCACAAATTTTGAAATTAACAAATATTTTTTATCAAAAAAAAAAAAACTTCTTATTTATTACAAATTAAAAGAAATATATAAAATTCTTTCCTTTATATTTGTTTCTTCTATTTTTGCAAGATTAGTTTGACAATAGAACAAAATAAAATGCGCAGAGAATTTTTGAGAACAAAATAGAGAGTGATTGACAATACAAAAATATAAAAATCATGACATCTTAACATTTAAGACGTTTATCATAAGTATTTGTGAGTAGATTTTACTCTCCTGAGACCCACTCAACAAATAGTTGTTATGTACGCTTTTTAGCGTTAAAATGTCCTGATTCTCCAGATTTCCTTAGACAATAAATTTGCAAATAATTAGGATTTTTTTTTTTTAGTTTATATCATTTAGTAATTGATTTGGATTACTAATTTGCAAGCCTCTGGGCTTTCATGAATTCGGGCCGACAACAGCGTCGGTTAAACACTTAAAATAAGTGGAAGAAATGGATCATTGGCCCAATGCTTTGAGAGCTGTAGCATTTGGGCCCCAAGTGTTGATAGACCACTATTTTAATAGTAATAAAATGGAAATCACATTTTCAGGTAGGTCTTAAAAAAACCCCCAAAAAAAAAAATTGCGTGTGGAAAGATATTTTATTAAACCCTAAATTTGTAACTAAGAATATAAATAATTATACTACCAAACTACAAGACTAATAGTGCTTGTGGAAAAATTTAAATATACTTTATGAATCCGCTTAAGCCCCCTTTAAACCCCTTGAACTATTTTTATTCAAAGCTGAAAGATACTGAACTTGTTGCTCAAGTTTCAACTTTCATGACTTTAGATTTTTATATACTTTTGCCTTTGAAAGTTAGTTCAACTTGACTTCATATGAATTCTATAAATGAATCCCTCGAAATGCCCCAAGAGCCAAGAGGCATAGAAGCATTAATCTGAGAGGTGAAGTTGGAGAGATGGAAGGAAAAGAAAGTGAAGTTGTGTTGATTGGGACATGGGCAAGCGCCTTCTGCAAGCGGGTTGAATTGGCCCTCAAGCTTAAGGGCATACCTTATGAGTTCGTAGAGGAAGACCTTGAAAACAAGAGCGAGCTGCTCCTCCGCAACAACCCTGTCCACAGGAAGGTGCCAGTGCTGCTACACAAAGGTAAGGCCATCCCGGAATCCCTTGTTATCCTTGAGTACATAGACGAATACTGGACCAAAGCCCCTAGACTATTGCCCGACGACCCCTACCAGAGAGCCAAAATTCGCTTCTGGGCCAACTACCATGATGAGAAGGTACTACAATTTCTTCGATGATCTCTTCTGCCTTTGTCTCTACTAATTACTCTATCTTTTATTTTGTATTAAATCCTTTAATATTCAAAAATCACGTTAAACTTAATTAATTTAAAATCAAATCACGTTAGATATTAAAAAAAAAAGCTCTTTCAATGCTTTTTTTTTTATTTGAAATGTTTAATTTGAAATCTTATTTAAAAGAACTCAAATTTTGTCCAACCAGATTAACAAGTCATTACTCTATACAAATTACTCTATGCTAAAAGAACTTCAATTGTATTTTTTCAGATAGCACAGGCTATCACGCCTATTATCTTCTCTGAAGGGAAGGAGCGAGAAAAGGTCATTGAAGACTTCCAACAACTGCTCAAGGTGTTTGAAGAAGGAATTGAGAGAGACTTCCAGGGAAAATCTCCTTTCCTTCATGGGGGAAACTTGGGATTTCTTGATTTGGTTGTAGGCACCTATGCGTGCAACTACCAGGCATTTCATGATTCAATTGCAGTGGTTTTTGAGACAGAGAAAAACCCCCAGTTTTTCTCATGGCTAATGGCTCTGAAGGACCATCCTCGGATCAAGGAGACTCTCCCTCCTAGTGACAAACTAGCAACCAAATACAAAGAGTTATTCTTGCCACCATATAGCAAACGGATTGCTACAATAAGAGAGAGGTATCTCCAGTCTCCTAAAGCATGATTTTCAGAAATTAAAAAGGGCTGTTATCTCTAGTAATGTCCCAAGTATCCTGGGTTCATGTTAAAATAAAATTTGGTTACATATGGTGTCATCAGTCCTGACTTGGTTGTTGTTCAAGCTTATAAACAATCGTATGAAATAATTTTAAAATTATATTTTAAAAATCAATATAGTGAATTCTAATTTTCTTGCTGCTATAATGGATGAGGGACTGCTGTAGCGCCTTCCTTTACTCTCCCCTAGCTTTTGATGTTGTAAGTATAGTTAGTCAAAGTTAAGGAACACTCAAATAAGGTAACTGCTCTTTTGGTCTTCAACATCCCTATGATGTTAACTAGTATGGGAGGCCCTGAGTGCTTGATTGACGCATTTTTATGGGGCAAATTTCTGTATACTAATGTTATGAGTAGCTGCCTAGCCTATGAGGCATCGATTATATATAAAATTGATGTAATTTATTATTATTATTATTATTTTAAACAGTTTATAATTTTGGGGATTGGGAGAGAGAGATTTTTCAAACGTTGGTGGAACTCGAAATCTTGATCAACTAATTCAAGTGTTTTAAGATTTGAGAACAAACTATTTGAATTCGAAAATCTAGTTCAAATTGATGTACTTTATTATTTATCAATAAAATCTATAATTTTTATCAAAAAAAATTTTCAAAGTAGATCCCAAGATTTAAACTCTAATTTTAGCTTATAAAACTAGCAATTACTAACAATTACTAATTACCAGAATCCTTACCCATTGAATTCAATTTCCAGTAATAGGACAGTTGGTGCCACACTAGCCCTCTGGAAATTTTTTCTTCTTATTCAATCAAAACTCCACCTCAATAAAAACCCATAACAAAATTCAAGTTAGAAAAAGAGAAACTCACTTGAACTCACTTGATGTTGATATCGTTATGCAAGGAATAGCAGGATCTAATGTAAGGGGAAGCCCTCTCTGACACTTCACTTGGCTTTAATTGCTCTCTATCTGCCAAACAAAACCTCCTCAAACCTATAATTTCGATAACACAATACTTCGTCCATCAAAAGAAATCCTGACCCACCACAGGGGCCACGGCGCTGTTCTGAAATTTGGCTGTTCCAGGGATGCTTTTGGATTTGGAGCCAAAATATTGGGGTGTCAAAACTTTAAAGCAAATCTATTTTTAAGTTAATTCATTTATCATAAATTTAAAATTTTATTAGAAAAAGTTATTAAAAAATTATAAGCAAAATTTTTAAAAAAGTTATACATCTCAACTTTCTCAACTAATAAATTATTTTAAAGTTTTCTAGGAGATGTTTTAATTATTAAAAATTTGATTCTTTCCATTACAATTTCAAATTTAAATTTTTATATTGGTGAAGAGAGATTTAGAAAGGGAAAATCTATCATTTATTATGTAACTTACTATTCCATATATATAAAAAAAAGATCATTTTAAAGAGAAAATTTTGAATTTTCCTCCAACAAATTTAAAAATTTGTATGTCAATCAAAAGAATTTTAAATTTTGTATGAGAATAATTTACTTAAATGTAACTTTGCTTTTAACTAAAATGTTCTTTCCTCTATTATTTTTCCTACTTTTGAAGATGGGTTTGACAATTCTCATTTCTCAAATTATGTTTCAGACCTATTGACAGTTGAGTTCTTCCCACTATCTGATTACCCAAGATTGCTTTCAAATGATCAATTAATAAAAAAGCTGGATGAGCTTGAACTTATTGCCCAAGCTTCAACTTTCTTGGCTTTTCATTTTTATATATTTTTTGCCTTTGAAAGTCAGTCCAACATGGCTTCATAATGAATTCTATAAATGAATCCCTCAAAATGCCCCAAGAGGCATAGAAGTATCAATCTGAGAGGTGAAGTTAGAAAGGGAGATGGAAGGAAAAGAAAGTGAAGTTGTGTTGATTGGGACATGGTTAAGCCCCTTCTCCAAGAGGGTTGAATTGGCCCTCAAGCTTAAGGGCATACCATTTGAGTTCGTAGAAGAAGACATTGAAAACAAGAGCGAACTGCTCCTCCGCCACAACCCCGTCCACAAGAGGTGCCAGTGCTGCTACACAAAGGGAAGGCCATCGCTGAGTCCCTTGTTATCCTCGAATACATAGATGAATACTGGACCAACGCCCCTAAATTATTGCCTGAGGACCCCTACCAGAGAGCCAAAATCCGCTTCTGGGCCAACTACCATGATGAGAAGGTACCATAATTCCTTCTGTGTCTCTGCTAATTTCTCTTTGCTAAAGAACTTGGTTTGTATTTTTTCAGACAGCGCAGACTATCATGCCTATTGTCTTCTCCGAAGGGAAGGAGCGAGAAAAGGCCATTGAAGACTTCCAACAACAGCTCAAGGTGTTTGAAGAGGGAATCGAAAGGGATTTTCCAGGAAAATCTCCTTTCCTCAACGGGGGAAACTTGAGATTGCTTGATTTGGTCGTAGGCGCCAATGCTTGCCACCATCAGGCATTTCATGATGCAGTTGCTGTGATTATTGAGGCAGCGAAAAACCCATTGTTTTTCTAATGGCTGATGGCTCTGAAGGACCATCCTCTGATCAAGGAGACTCTGCCTCTCAGTGACAAGCTAGCACCCCTGATCAAAGAGAAGTACCAGCAGCCACCATATAACGAACGAGTTGCTGCAATAAGAGAGAAGTATCTCCAGTCTCCTAAAGCATAATTTCAGAATTACATAAGGCATGTTATCTCAAATCTCTGGTGGTGTTCAAAGTTTCCTGTGTTCATGTGATATACAAATAAAATTAGGTTACATCTGGCGTCTTGCTCCTGGCTGTAAAAAGCTTATAGAAAACAATCATGTGAAATAAATAAAATTTGGTCATATCTGGTGTCACGTCACACGTCCCCAGTGGTTGTAATACCTTATCTTATGGTGAAAGTCGATGACATCCCCTCATCTTGTTTGTGTGTTTGTTTTCCCTCATTGGTTGTACAACTTAAAATATATGTATATATATATATATATATATATATACAGAGTCAAGCAATAAATGCAGATTGATCTGGTGCAGCAGTAAAAGACAACCGAGCAACAAAGAGAGGAGATTGGGGTTCAAAGTGCAAGGAATGAGTGGTGGGTGAAACATGAATGCAAAATTGAGCATTGAGGTAAAAATGAAACGACTCAGAGATAAATGAAAGGAAGGAGAAATGGATGGCATAAATAAGCAGTAAATGATAAGAAAAGGCACTAATGACTAATCTGTCATTACATAAACCATCCAGTATGAAATTTAAAACACCACCCGGTAAGTAACAAAAGGAAACAAAATTTTAACACAGATAGACTTGCCTACAAAGTGAAAAAGGAAGCAGAGATCACTGTCCATACCAACCAAACCAAATACAACTCCAGATTTGATCACCTTGAAATTCATGCCGAAGCTGAACTCTCATTTGAAATTAACTCTTGGATGATTGCTTTTCCTTTGCCTTTTGAATCTTCAAGACCTTCTTCACAATCTTTTGCTCTTCGACCAAAAAGGCTCGAATGATCCTGAAAAACACAAGAAATTGTATTTGGTAAGACCATTTTAGGACAACCAACATCAAATCTTACAAACAAGAGGAATCAGATCTCTCTTAAGATCAACAAGAACAAACCTTTCCCTGACGGCACTTCCAGACAGCACCCCACCATAAGCACGGTTCACAGTTCTCCGGTTTCTAGGTAATCTAGACCTCTTGTATTCGGCAGGCCTCAAGTGGGGAATCTAAATATATAACCCACACTTAAATCAATAGTTGAAATGGAACTTAAAACATATACAGAGAAGGAATCCAACAATGGCAATATATGACGCAAATGTGCACCTCCCCCCCCAAAAAAAAGAAAAAAAAAACTATAAACAAATCATTCTAGATGAACTCAATAACTATTTCGAAATCATGCAAGATTGGTATTGACATGTAGATTAACATTACAATGAATTAAAAACAACTCACTAAAAAAGTTCAACAAATCATAATCATAAAAATTAAATTAGAACAAATTACATTTAGCAAAACTACACAGTAATCTCTGGGAACTAAGGCTACCAATAATCATGTTCTCCCGAAAGGAAAACAAAATGAGAAATAGCAGGAGTTATACAGAATTCTCCCATCCTCATCATCTTCAAGTCAATACATTGATTCAGCAATGATATAAAGTAAAACTATCAATATCCATTGACAAAACCACTAAAGAAAGATCATAAACCAATTTGGAAACCGTAAACCCCTTTACTTTTTCCATTTTCAGTGAAGAAACAAGAAATCCCATTTAACTGATGATAATTTTTAGTTCTATTTTTTTCCAGATTCAGTTTATCATTGAAATCAAATCAGCTGTATCCAAAATGCTACATTCTATTGAATATTAAAAGTTAAAACAAATAAAGAATAAGACATCAAATGAAGAAATGCTTGGCAAAAATTCAGATACCCCTTGAATTCTCTTTCCAGTAACAGGACACTTGGGGCCACTAGCTCTCTTCTTGGTGGTCTGATACAAAAGCTTCCCTCCTGCACCACCACAACCACACCAAAATCACTATGACCCATCATTTATTTCAAAATCAAATCCCAGATTCAGTCATCATTACCCAGCATAACACATCACTAAACAGTAATTCATATCATTCTCAGCATCCTAGTTTCCTTCCCAGATTGGATGAAAATGTATAAAAACAGAGACAAATATACAAAACGAAAAAGGGATAAGCAGCAGTGTTACCGGGGGTTTTGACCACGCGGTGCTGGTTGGACTTGGTGGCGTAGCTGTGGCGTGTACGGTAGGTGAGCCGCTGAACCATTTTCGAGCAGCTCAAGTTTTACTCTCTCCTAAGGTTTTTCAGAAGATACCGTCGGCGTCGAAGCACAAAGTCGGTTCTGTTTTTGTTAAGATTCTAGGAGCATTTTGATGCCCTAGATATTTTGGCTCTCCGATTAACTGGTCAAGTGGGTTGGGTTTTGTATGCGCTATATGGCCCATATTTGAATGAGACGAGGCGAGCCGGCCCTTTTTAAACAAGTAGGGATATGTATTTTGGAGTCCAAGTAAAGGGGTTTTTTTTTTTTTTTAATATTGGTTACATAATAAGAGAGGTAATCTTTTTTTATATTTTATTTTATTTTACTTGCATGCCATACAACTTGAATTTATAATCTTTTATTTCTAACGGAAAAAAATTACTACTGAATTACTTAAGTTGTTGACAGAATAGAAATAAAGTTGTGAATTGTTAATTACAATTACTTTTAGGTATAACTTTTTTTAAATTTGTTACTTACATAACTATTTGGAGGTCTATATTAGTACTTACCAGATATTGAGT